TTCGACCAACACCGCACTGATATCCTCTTAAAATCTTTAACGACCTTTCTTGTTTTACTTTTCTCGAGTTCCGCAAGATTGTTGGTGACCTGATAGATCCGATTTTCTCAATCGTAGAATTTGCCGTCCACAAAACGCAAATGATCACGTACCCATTATGGGTGGGAATTATCTTACACGCAATTGAAGTGGATCTACAATTTTTGGCAATTCAAGGTTGAATTGTCAAAAATTGCTTATTGATTGCTGACATAGCAAGCACCGCCTCAGCAGTAAGCATGTTTTATCTTACCCACTATAGATAAGAGATCATTTGTAGTGGTTGAAAATAAAATTAAGAAAAAAAGAGTTTTGTAAAAATGGTTGTCAAACAAAGGCTTAATCTCAATTGGGGATAGTGAGTCGTTTGTGGTTCATCAATTTTATTTTTTTTTTAAATTACATTTTTCACTTTTTTATGACAAGTCGGCTCATGAACCGATGAGCTCACATACGAGCTAGCTCGCTCGGCTCATGAGACAACTCGTACAAGTTGACATGTGGCTCACACGAGAAATTCGCTACTCGACTCGTGCCTGTTCCTTCAAATACGAGCTAAATTGAGGATCGACTTGTCCAACTTAACACGTTTATCACTTGCTTGTTTGCCAGAAAGATTGGCCGAGTATTTTGATTCAAAAAAGATATAAATCAAAGAGTTGAGCTGGTATTCGTTTTGGAATGATGAAGTTAGCGATTCAGTTTAATTCTTACAATATTTCTTCAGAGCCTTTATTTAAAAAAAAATTGATGATTGTTTTCAAATTTTCTTTTCTTTTTAAGCTTATGTATTCAACTCATGATATTATTGTTGACCTTTCAATTTTTGACAAGACGATAATTGTTCAAAAATTTTGTTACGTTTAACCTGCGCACGACACGAACTTAAATAATTAGGACAATATTGTGTAAATACTTTTAAAAAAATGAAATAAGTTAAGAAAACAAAGCCATAGAGAGACAAAAATCTAAGTTAAATTAGCTATGGCCCATGGGTAACAGGTAATTTTTCAGTTTAATTAATTAATAATTCACTAGTCTTTCACCCGTGCGATACACAAATTTATATTAAGTGAACATATGCTAATTGAGAGTTAGATGCACAAATTTATATTAAGTGAACATATGCTAATTGAGAGTTAGTTGCTGTTGCAGCATCCCAGTCATATCTAGCATGAGATTATCATGTTAATTA